TCGGACATTTAGTGACGGCCTGGGATAAAGTGCAAATTAATACAACAACAACAACAAAAACACCTCGGGTAATTATAAGCGGGCGTTATGGATCATAACGCCCGCTGGGCTTATAATGCCCTCAGGTTGTTATAGGTATGTTAACGTATTTCGTTTCCTAGGTATAATGGATCTATAATATTTAAAGAGAAAATAAAAAAAAATTATAGGCTGGTAACAAATAATAATCATTCCCTAATCTACCAATTCTGCCATGATCAGACAAATCAATTTGATTGTTTGTAATTTCATCAGGTTCCAGAGCAAATGGAGGTAGCTCCGTAACGTTCCCTTGAATTAAGTCTTTGTATACTGATATAAATTTTCTTACTGCTACATGATTGAAATTTAGTAAAAATGCTTGTCTACATAGTTCATGTACAAAATTAACATTATCTCTTGTGGAGCACAGGATATCTCGGATAATGTGTTGAGCCAGTTCCGAATCGCTTGTAGTTTTACTTGTTTGAATTGAAACAGCTGGAATTTATGGAATTATGCACAGGAATTTTGTAAAATTAAATCCCTGCTTGAATCTAAACTGGAATGAGCTGAGTCATTATCATCGTCATCCACTGATGTTCCAGGGTGAGCACCATGACTTTGGTGGTGAGAAGGGTTCGACCCTTGCAAATTATTCTGGCTGCCGTGATGATCACGTTTTGGTTGATGTACCTACCTATGTAATTAGTCACCCACATAATCAAAGAGACTCGACAAAACATAAAATCTGTTTCGTTTTCCATTTTTCTTAATATTGGCAAATCTAAATTGAATTGGTTGAAAAAAATTCAGACCTGACTGAAATCACTGAAATTGAAATTTCAAGACAAGCGGTAAAACTGTCACAATTTTATGACAAAGACATTAACACCGATGAATTAATCTTGGAATGTGAGCATTTCAAATCCTATATCAGCATCGATATTGAAAAACTGAAAAAACAGGAAGTAGAAATGGAGAATAAAAATATAAATGAGAAGAAAAATAAATCTAAATCTACTGATGATCAAGATGATCCAATAGAAGATCCAAAGATTGAAATTGCTATGAGAATTTTTTTATCCATGATGGTCATCAATGCAAGCGGGAAACGTTCATTTTCCAAATATAGTCAAAAGCGAAATCAGAAACTGTATGAGCCAGTCGCGATTAAATAACCTAAGTTTGATGAGTATTGAAAGCGAAATTTTAGAAACCATTGATTTTGAAGATTTTCTTTCCACAATATACATTAAATTTCAGAAGTTTTTCTTATTTATTCATATCGTATTCCCTAGAGCACAACCCCCCCCCCCCCCCCAACGGTAGGTAAGGGGCCTCCTTTTACTTATTCGCCCAAGGCCTCAAGAAATCTTTAGCCGTCCCTGCATACACTCCTTCCGTAGGGTTATAAATAGCATCCTGACAGTTCTTTTTGGTTGAAATTCGAACTTCCGAACTGACAGATGATCCCATCTAGAGCTATACATGCAAGAACTACTACTCGACAGGCAGACGTGGCTTATGATCATCGAGAGCACCTGCAGACGCCTAGAACATCTCTATATCGGGACACTTTTTTTTATGGAAAAGTGCAAGTCTCTGAAACTAGCTTCTAGAGCACGTCTTTCCCGAACACTACACTGCAAAACATTAGAGGAATATCCACAGATACCTTCGAACCACTGGTCCCGCTCGTGTTAATCGAGTGCCATAGGGGTTTTTCCTCATAAGCTGGAATGTTCCGATGCAATTTAGTGATAATGCCTCCTTCTCAAATAAAATCGTCCGATCTCATGCTTAGATACACCATCTTCTCTTCTACATATGTATATTACCTCCACTCACATTTACTATCGTTTTCCATCTCTCTACTACCAGCAGAACTACCTACTTATGCCTTTCAGGAAGTGCTGATTCTGCTGTTGCATTCTAGTCCAGGAGGTGGCGTCAAAAACATGCAAGAGTTTTCGCAAGGCGGATATTTTCAAAATAAGTCGTACTTTAGTGCTAGAATGCTAGTGTACTGTCAGCACTCACAGTTCCGGGACAGCTGGCTCTGGGACGCGGGCAAAGTTGTAATTTTAAGAAGCGTCTAAACTGTTTTCTCAAAGCTCAAAATTTATAGAAATTTTGCACATTATCTGTTTGAAGGTCACAGATAACGTATGTAAATCGTCAGACGTCTAGTTCGTTGCAAAAAGGGGGTCAGACGTCCTCAAAGTTTTTATTTTATGGCATTTTCTTCAAATATATTTGTCAAATACCTGCAAAAATATATTTTGACAGGACACCGAAGAAAATGCCATAAAATAAAAACTTTGAGGACGTCTGACCCCCTTTTTGCAACGAACTAGACGTCTGACGATTTACATACGTTATCTGTGACCTTCAAACAGATAATGTGCAATATTTCTATAAATTTTGAGCTTTGAGAAAACAGTTTAGATGCTTCTTAAAATTACAACTTTGCCCGCGTCACAGAGCCAGCTGTCCCGGAACTGTGAGTGCTGACTGTACACTAGCATTCTAGCACTAAAGTACGACCGATTTTGAAAATATCCGCCTTGCGAAAACTCTTGCATGTTTTTGACGCCAGCTCCCCAACTATTCGGTTACACCAAATTTACTTCAGGCGGAGGATATCGGATTCATATTCTTTTAAGGTTTCCACAGCTTTCTGTCGTCTTGGTCTTAGCTGTTCCTAGTAAAGCTACTGTCAGGGCACCATAGTTTTGTTGCAAGCAGGGATACCTAATGTCATATCGACAGGGGTACCTACTAATGTCATATCGACAATCTCGAACTGATGCCTGTGCGATGTCTGGGGTCTTATTTTCGAATATATTCCCATACGAATTTTGATAAAATTTCGAATGCTCCCCATCTAATTAACATTGCTGTCAGTCAAATTCCGTGTACGAAAAGTACTCGAGTGGTTTCGAAAATCGCACCCCTGGGCTGCGTTCAGAAATGGCTACAGCCAAGCCAAAATTGGCATTTTGCGTTCGAGTTCGGCTCCAACCAACTATAGTATTTGTAATACCCATTTAGAATAACCTTATCCTTATTTATCAATCACAAATCAGATGAAACAAAAAATTACCAACAAAAACGAACGTCGATTGCTAATACGTCAATTTCATCAATAAATAGGAAATTCCTAACCTGATTTTATTTGTGTGTCAAGAAGCGACATACATTTTGTCACTAAAACGACAGGTACTTCTAAATAGGTAATAAAAATACTATACGTGGTTTGGCATTACCGGTGGAGGGGGAAAAGTAGGTTTTGGCATTAGCATTGCCGTCCTTGAACGCACCCCCGGGCTGCGTTCAAAAACGGCTAAAGCCAAGCCAAAATTGGCATATTGCGTTCAAGTTCGGCTCCAGCGTGCCAAAAACGGTTGGCTTTACACGTTCAGAATCGGCCCCGGTAAAGTAACTTTTGGAGGTGCTTTTAACTGAGTCTAGAAATGGTTATACGAATTTTGATTGGATGAGACCAAATTCAATATGGCGTGGCGGCCAGCAAGTTAGTTTTGAATATGTGTTTTCATGCATATTTCAATTATTTTGCTTCGAGTTTTGCTTGCAGCTTTGATTTTGATTATCCAATAAAATATTTGTAGGTACGTAAACTATTGAGTTGGGCAGAAACTAGATATTTTTTTGTGTGTTTTCGTCCATGTGTGGACGCCACGCCATCTTGAATGTTTGGATTGCCTAATTGAGAAACGGTATTTGGCGTTCCAGCAAATTCACTCCAGATTTGGCATTGATGGTAGAAGGGGAAAAGTAGGTTTTGGCATTAGCATTGACGTCTTTGAACGCACTCCCGGACTCTCGTATGCGTCGTATGGCAGGTGTTTCAACTTCATACCGCTTGTAAGCGAAGCTGAGACATTTCCAGATCTCGTCACACTTCAACATCTTAATTCTCTTCTTAATACAAGCGAATAGGCGCGCTAGAGTAAACGTAAACAGCTGGAATTATGGCTTATGGAATTGGCCATTTATTGGGTAAAATATATTGTCGAAAGTGGAAATTAATAATTTTTCAATTTCTATATATTGATCAAAATTATTTATTTATAAACTGTCCTGATTTACACATTCAAGAGTAAGCAACCACAACACAACAAAAACTAATATCATTCTTTTCATTAAGTAAGTCAATGCTCATCAAAGCTCCAGTTCCCAATTTGATGTTTGGAAATATTACTACTAAATGTAAAACATGCATCTAATAGGGTCAGCACGGATTCCTTTCTGAGATTACATGAGACAACATTGAATTGAGAAAAATAGATTTTTGAAAAGGAGGCAGTCAAGTTTCGGCTCTTCGAACAATAGGAAGGAATGGGTACAGTCTCCATGGCGAATCTAATGTAAGTAAACTACACCCGACGGAAATCTGTTATCCTATTTTAGAGTCTTGCACATGTATTATCTTAACACTTCGTTGGTACCAATGTAATATTTCATTTATTTTATTATAAATAAACTTGTGTCCTGTTTTTATCATGTTGCCTTATTCGACACTAAAGGATGCCATGGTCTTTTTAGGTACAAGGGCAAGACTACGCCCTGGTTGCAATCTCATAATTTAGAGTGTGGAAATATTACCACAGCAGCAGGCTAACTCTCACGCGCATCTTTTCTGCGCACGCCGCCATTAGGGGATACCATACCGACATTTTAATTTATTTGTTTATTTCTGACGGAGGTCATAGGCGTGCGGTGTAGAGCGGAATTTCAGTTATGATTTTCAAAGTCATTTTAGTATATTCGTGTTGTCATTTATGGTAAAATCAGTTATCATTCTTGTATATTTAAAAATATTAATAAATTAGTAAGGATAAATATTATTATATGTAAGTAATATTAAATTAGTTTATTTGAAGCCAATACGACTCTGTGACCCAAAAGAAAAAATCTAAATTATTGTTAATCAGGTCCTGTCTCGTATCCCATCAATTCCTTTATTACACGGGATGTCACTCAAGTTAGCCTGCTGATTGTTTTTGTATATGCTGTGATATTACTATAGGCCTAGAGTTGCACCACATCTGCATTCCTGGTAAAAAATTGCCATGGTAATATTTAGTACAGGAGCTATGGGTAAATTTCTTCTTTCTACTACTACTGTTTTGGAGAAGCAGAAAGCGGGTTGGACAAGTAGAAAACTACAACACACTCAAAAAACTAATTTATTTATAAGTATTTTTTAATACAATGGTTCTAAAATTTGGGTCTTCAAATCATTATTTTCCGAGTTATTTTCATTCAAAAATATTCTTGCGATATCAAGATTTCGTTCTGGTAGCAAAATGTAGATCCAGAGGATGTGTTGAATATATTGTAATCGATGAACTTAGATCGAATTCATCAACAGATTTATGTTTTGTGAGCATCTTGAAGTTCCTTATCATGTTTGCAAAGGTTATTTTCAGTAGCGTCATTGCGTGCTGTTTTCCTAAAAATCAAATCAAATCTTAGACATTTCCATATTCCAACAGTTAACAATACCCAGTGAATAGTCGCTATAGGGCATGTCCATGTGACATCACAAATGAGTCTGACAGTCGCCCTGAGGTAAAACAAATATAGTATTTTACATTATTAGCCAGGTAAAACAGTTTTTACTGGCGATTGAAGGAAATGACTAGCGAGCCGCCAGGCGAGCTTGTCACCTTCAAGAGCCAGTAAAAACTGCTACCTGGCGTATAATGTACAATAATTTATTTGTTACTCATTTGTAAAAGATATAGGGACAAATAAAAAATCAATACATAACAAAAATTTGAAATTTATATGTTTTTCCTTGATTTTTTCTCACAGAAGTTTTGGTAGTTGGTATAACTATGAGAATGATACGTTGTTAAGACGTTGTTTCTAGTTATAAATAGGTTTTTTGACAGATTTCCATTTTGCAATTTTTTTCCAGAAATGAATTTATTACAAGATATTATTAATGAAGCCTCAGTCGTAGCCAACAGTTTATCACCAGAAAAGTCTCCCAGAAGGTACCTACAAGCAATTATTCTTGTGATAAAACCGATTTTTCAAAAATAAATAATTCTACTGACTTGTAAAAAGTTTTTACAGTTTAGCTGTCAATTTTACAAGTCAGTAGAGTCAATTTTCGCTGGTTATGTTTTGACTTGATAAGTGACGTTTTACAAATGAGTGACAAATAAATTTATTTACATTGGTGTAGATTAGGCTGGTTATGTTTTATGCGGTTTTCACAGTTTTTTTACAAGTTTTGGTGTTATTTTGTTTTAAAGAAGTTAGAGCGGAGTGTTTGTGTTCCAGTCTATGTGGTCTTTCATCTAAAAGTTTGCTAGGTTTTCCTATAATAGATTAAATTCAGGTTTTTTCCAACGAATATCAAAACCAAGTGTCACAAGAACAAATATATAAGTATAGTTACCAATATATTCAATCTATTTTTCAGTTAGATCTTCTCTTTTAACAACATTTATCAATTTTTCTCTTCTTTCTTGAGCTAACAAATCAAACTTCCCATTGTTATTTAAAATTGATGGAAACCTATGGAAGGATATTAGGCAATCTCAATCACGTGATTTTATAATGGCCGTTCGGGTCAAATATTGCGGTGACAAGCCGGTCACATTTGACATTCATAAGGAGAGCATTTGTATTCTGGCCCTTGCTGCTTTCGAAGTGAATTTTATGTGTTTCTACGTATTTTTCATTGGTTTTGGTCATTCTTGTGTTCATAGTGAATCATATAGTATTTAACGTATTTCTACGTATTTTTTAGTGTTCTGGCCCTTGTTGTTTTCAAAGTGAATTTTATAATGTTTATAGTGTTTCTATATATTAGGGGAAAATCGAGCTTTTAGTTGCAGCAATCCATTAAGCCCTACGTTGTTTTGATAATTCATATTTGTAGATCAAAAGCCAATGACTTAAAATAGCGGGAACTTAATAAAATTTCACATTATCCATGTTACCTCGACTTCCACACCCAATTAACACAAAATCCGATGATTCAAATCTGGACGTTTCTCTAGAATGTGACAGGATCAATGACATATAGAATAAAAAACACCGTGCTTGACCCGAACTTCCATATTGAATTTCGTTTTTGACAGGTCAGTAGATTGCCTAATAGACCTATCTCGTATGATTAGAAAAAGAGAGCTTAATTGTAATAAATACAAGTTAGAAAGCAATAAAAGATGACATGCGCGCGCATCTCGTAGGCTGCAGTGTAGCCAGATTGTATTGTTGCAGAACAAATGTAGACAATACAAATCGAACATTATAACATTAAAAAAGTGATATAGTGTCAAGTGTTTTACAATGCCTTAAATCAGACAAAAGAAGAGCTTTAAAGTGGATGAACATCGTTTGCACTTTTATTTTGATAAATGTTTCATCCGGCAACATCGCTCAATAAAATTGCAAAGGAATATGTCAAGTATAATCTAACATAACCTTAAACGAAACTGCGGTGAGTTCAAGTAATATGTAAAGTATTAGTTTGCTCTTTGTCAAATTACACGTTACAAAGAAAGAAGGAACGATTCATTCTGAACTAGCCCCTGAATAAGAATATGACGCAAGCCTGTCACAAACTTGCTTCTCATTGGACGCTCACCTGCAGCCTACAACCGACGCGCGCAGTCCAGGTAATAGGAGATCGCTCTATTGTATTCCTTGCGCTATACTGCCACAATCAACAACTAAACAAACTCTATGGTTTATTTTTTTCCAAGATAGATTTTGGCATTGTCAACTTTGAAACATAAACAATGCCACTAATGCCGCTTATTGGTCGCTATTGTAAAACTGATGTCAACCTGCAGAAACACCTCATTTTGCGACCAATCAGGGTCAAGCGTTATTGTTTATGTTTCAAAGTTTTCAATGTCAAAATCTATCTTGGGAAAAAATAAAGAGTAGGTATGTCCAAGAAACTTCTGGAGCACACAAAAGCAGTGGCGACGCGTGACCAGTAGTCTGGGGGGGGGTAAATGGTACGGGGGGCTGAGGGGGCGCCCTCCAAAAACGCGCCGCAGGCGCAATTTTTCGCAAATTTCAAGGTCATTCACTTTTCCAGAACAATTATTTCATTTGTGAAAAAAATAAAACAAAACAAAAATGTATTTTCTTCAATATATTATGTATTTTCTTTCTGGCATCGTGATTTTTCTCTTGATAATTCGATCCTGGGGGGGGGGGGGTAATTACCCCCAGTACCCCCCCCCCCCCCGACGCGACGCCCCTGCACAAAAGGTATTTATTTTAGAAAATCTAACTAAGCACTGTAAATTATATCTTTGTTTTACCTCAAGGCGACTGTCAATAGTGTCAAACTGTCAGATCGTGTACTTGCCCTATTGAATTCTAGAACTAAACTAAACTCCTCTTGGACAGAACTAACGTATCAGTCAAACTCTGTAGGTACTTACTGCTTACAATTTTTGCAAATTTAATATAGTCCTCGATAGAGAAACTACACCAAACTTTTTTTTTTTTTAAAGAACTTTATTTCTGACCTTTAAACAGTTGTAATAACTGATACCAAGGCCTAAGTCTTAACATATTTTACAAATATAAGGTTTTCTTTAGGTGACGACAGATTAATACTTAAATCTAAAATACTTCAATCATATGACATTTTATGTGTAACATGTAGGTTTGATTTGATTTAGTGAAGAGTGAATATAAGAAATATATTGTATATAGTTCATACCAAATAAACTTGTTGTTGTGACATCGATGACGCCATTTTTAAAATCGATATCGCCAACCGTGAAAATATTCGGCGTCGGATTGACTTAATTGGAATTTGAATTTCCCGCTGACCATTCAGTTGGTAACACCATGTCAAAAAATGTAACGTTGCCAAATTAAATTCTTGACATTTTGATTGCATTTTGGCAGTTTACGAGTTTTTGGTTTGTGCTGTTATTTGTGACCTTGCTTTTTGAAATCAGCTTGTAGTGCGAAGTGTACAAGATGCCGAAGCAGCTTAACAGCCGTTGCAAAGAACTAATCGCATCCTTTTTCCAATATTTCGAACGAGAACGCGATAATAATGGCCCTTAATGTCCCTTAAATGCTGTTAGGAAGGTGAGTTTATAAGTCGTTGATGTCGTGTGACCAAATACGAATTTTTAATTTGAACTTTCTCTCATTTTTAGCGAGTAGCAGAGGCTTTGAACTTAAGTATGTCCACTGTCTGTGCTATTTCGAAGGCAGTAAAAAATAATGAAGATTTGGAATCGCCTTCTAAGAAACGATGCACTTCGAATAAGAGAGTCTGTGATGTTTCAAAGCTCGATAGCAGTGCTATACATAACACTATTTACGATATGTGTATAAAAAGTAAATCGTTTGAGACAAAGGTACATATAGATATCTATGAATCGCCTTTTTTCTTCTTGTAGAACAACATGTAACATTATCCTGTATATGGGAGCAATTGAAAGACAAACAATTATTTGATGGCAGCATGCCATTGAGTAGAATCTTAAAAGAAATAGGCTTCAAATGGAAAAAAGATGACCCAAGACGAGGGCTCATGGAACTTCCTGGGACTTTATTCTCGAATCAGGGGAGCAGCGTTCTCATGAGAACGAAGGCTCTGTCTTCGTCGTCCGTATTCATATTTCCATAACACTGACAATGACATAGCAATCGTTCTCATGAGAACGCTGTTCCTCGGTTTCAAGAATAAAGTCTCTGATATTGCTGTTAAACGCATATCATTTTTAAGGTCTTATCTAAGACTGAAACAGGAGGCTTTGTACCAGTTTGTTTTCTTGAACGAGACTTGGATTTTTCAAAATGGTACTATTAACCGTGGGAAGACAACAACAAGCGAAGTGTTAAAACTACCAAAGTTGATGGTATAGGTAAATTTAAACATGAATACAGAGAGCAGTGTATTATATGTACAAAGAAATGCTTTTTCTAGATATATCATACCTACTTCATGCTGGCACTGAAAATGGATTCATTGAAGGTACATCGCTTGTATATTCATCGAAAACTCAACTCAACGACTATCATGAAGAAATTAATCAGCAAAACTTTTTATGTTGGTTCGAAAATCAGCTGTTGAAGAACTTGAGTGAACCATCTATCATTGTTATAGACAATGCTCATATGGCATAAGCTCTTCCACTTCAATAGCATACACCCTTTCACTTATCAATATTGATGAAGACTCTAGCGATTTCAGTGATCCAGAATAATTGAAAATCTTCTTGATGGATCAAATATTCATAATATTTAATAAGATATTTATAGTATTTAGAGTGACTGTAAATAAAATAGGTACTGAGCGTTATTATTATATTTTATGTGATGATTGAAAATTGAGTTGTTATTAAATATCTATAAAACCAAGCTTTGAAGCAATGTTTATAATTTAAGTAATAAATGTTTGCATTATAATACAATCCATTATTGTTTCTGAAAATATTTTGACCAAAGGAAAATATGGAAGAGACGGCAACGCTGTGCCGGCCGAGCTTGACAACCCGACTATAAGTTTATTTGGTATGAACGTATGAACTATATAAATATTTTTTTGTTTTTTTTTTTTAAGAATTTTTTAAGTAGTTTTTTAAGTGTATAGAGAGTCTTTTCACATTTGCAGCATTTGTTAGTTGTTCGGGCAGCAGGTTGTAGGCTTGAATGCTTCGGAAGACTGGGAAACTGATCTCGTTTTTAAGATAACTCTCACATGCGCTTCTGACACATGCGGACAGATTTACTGATGGTTTGTAGAGAGTTGATTTGCATCCAAAATGATAGGTATGGAAATTGACAAAAACATAACTTCTTATTGCCCAAAGATGTTTTAACTAAAGAAAATATGTCCAGAGCGATGAAGTTGCCATATCAATAAGAGCAAGAATGTGAGGTAGGTACCTACCTACTTTAACTGCCAAAATACCTATTATTTCCATGCGAAAAATTGGTCTACCTTCACAATGAATCAAGAAACTGGTTCCACAAAACTTAGGTAACACTTGAGTATCTAGTAATTTATGTATTCAGTATATAATCTTAAATAACATACCTATGCAATCTCTAGGTCCTTGAGAAAATGGCATGTAACTAAATGGTTTAATTTTGTCTAGATTTTCTGGTAAAAATCTTGCTGGATCGAATTTTTCTGGATTCTCCCAGTATTCGGCGACCCTGTGGAGAAGGTAAATATTCACTAAAATATTCGCTCCTTTAGGAATAACTTTACCACCTGAAATTAATTAAAGACGGGAAAAAACATCACATGCATAAAAAGTAACTGTTTTCTTACCTATATCTATGTCATCTCCTATAATTCGTGCTATAAAAGGCACACTTGGTACAAGCCTCATTACTTCACAAATAGTTGCTTCGGTGTATTTTAGGCGAGCAATATTTTTAGCTGAAATTTCTTGATCTCCTATTTCTCTTATAACTTCGTTATAAAGAATTTCCTAAAATTTAAAACCTCAAAATGTTTTGGATACAAAAATCTACATGATCTACCTGGATATCTGGATGCATTGCCAAAATAATAAAACCGAAGTATAATACATAGGAACTGGTTTCAATAGCCTGAAATACAATGTAGGTATAGAATTTCAACTTAAACTAGTAGGTATTTTCTTACTGCACTAGCAAATAAAACCATTTCTTGATAAGTTTGTTCATCAGTCATAATTTCTTGGTTGTAGCTGAGGATCAAGTCTAATAAAGGTACTTCGTTATTATTTGCCACATACTCTACAAAAATTATATATTTAGTTATGATATTTAAAATAATATAAGTAAAGGTACCTTGATTTTTTTCTAACTCAATTTTTCGTTCTCGAATAATTTTTTCAATGATAACTTTGCTTCTTTCCATATACTCAGCAGTTCTTCTGCCACTTGGAAAGAAATTTATCCATATTGAATATGGAATAAATGGACTTACGACTTTTGCACCTATAGCTTGTTCAATTCTGAAAAAAAAATATATAGGTATTTTCAAGTTTCAAAAAGTTCTTTTGTAGGTAATGCATATGAACTCGGGGTTGTCTCGTGACTTCGATTCGAGCAAGACATATTCTACATGATTGATTATGAATTCTTCCTCAATCCTCCTGTATATTGTTCACACGGCCTTGAAATGCTTTAATATAAGAAGTTCAATTAAGAATTTCATGATCATCATTCTAATAAATGTTTTAGTTAATACTCACTACCATTGATATCAACAAATAATCTGCACAAGAAACTAAATCTATGTTTTCTATTTTAGTTTGCCGGAGAAACTTTATTCTTGATTCATTTATCATATCTGCAGTAGATGCATCCCTATACTTTCGGCTTCGTTAGCTCTCATGAGAGCTTACATCCAATGAATGAGAATAAGATTTCTCCTAATTGTCTTACAGGACACATGTATTGTGTAATCTGGCTGTGTCCAGAATCAATACAAAAAGCTCATACTATGAGTTACATATTAGCAAATGGTGCCACGATTAACACTTGTGTTATTTTGTAGATACCTACTACTATTGTTTCAATATTGGTTAAATAATTTATTTTGTTGATCATAATTCTGTTCGGCTGAGAATTAATCTTAGCCACAGGAGCTTCTGGGTCTCTAGTTAGGCACTACCCAATAGAAAAAACTTGCCTTTCCAAGTGAAAAAGCACGATTCATCAATTTAAAAATGTAGGTGATTTTCAACTTGAATTTAGAATGTTGTCTGCACTAGGTGCGGTGAAGTAGTTAATCAACCGCTCTCAAAAATTTCAACTATATATTTTCGCCCTTTTTTAAATAATTTTTACAAAAAAATAATGTAGGAATGTTTCCTCATTAGTAATTTTACATATTTTCAGGCTGGTTGCCAAGTGTTTTTTTTTTTTTTTTTTTTTCAAATTTTTGTTCAAAAAGTCACTTTGAGAAAGTCTGAGGAAAATGCCGGTCACCGAGAGTTGCCTCTGCACGTGTCGATAACTTGTAACCACTTTTCGGAATTGTCAGTTGAAAAACTACATTAAAACAAACTGTGGTAAAACCTCTATTAGCGACCACTTCCATAAACTGACGACCAACGTTAAACGAACGATAATGAATTCACTTATTTACAGATGGAAATCCCATTATTTTATACTTCTCTTCACCGACCCATCTGTTAAAAGACCGCGGGCGCTTATCACCCCAATTCTTGGTACTTACCTACCCATTAATTCCAAAAAAATACACTCTCTATTAAGGGCAGAAAAAAACCCGAATATTCTTAAGAAATATAATAGTACCTATAAACGTACCTAGTTTAATTAGGTAGGTATCTACTTTATTGGTCGTCGGATCCATGATCCATCCAATTTGCTTTCTAGGCCCGATAAAACCGGTCGTTAGTTGGGCATAATCAATTTTGAATTAAAATATAAAGTTTCTAATTATAAAAAAAAAGAATTTCAGTCCAAAGAGATAGTATAATATGGTACACCATTATGCCTACATTACTTGTATGTCAGTAGGTTAATTTTTAGGTAGGGATATTTGTGAATATTTTGATATCTAGGAGCAGTATACGGAGTGTTTTCTAATTGAATGTCAATATTTAGGGAGGCGATTTTGGATCCATTTTAAAAAAAAAAACTTTACATGAATAATGTATGTCGTAAATGTCTCAACGTTTGAGATACATGGTGTATGATAAAGATTTCAAAAATAAAAATAATTCATTTATTGTTGATATCTGTAATGCCGGTTTTTCACCAAACGGACTGTTGAGTTTGTGTTTTGAAACATGTTCTAAAACAAAAACAGAACTGAACAGACTCGAGTCTGTGTTTGAGTTTCATATTCACCGCTTTCGAACGGGACCCGAAAAACAAAACTCCAAATGTCGCGAAACAAGCTAGTCTTGAAAATGTTTGGGAAAAGTTAGAGTTTTGTCTGAGTTTAAGTTTTGTTTTTGTATTTTCGGTTTGGTGGAAAACCGGCATAACAAATCACCAACTTTATATATTTTAATGAAATTAATTTGGCACACATGTATGTACCTACTATGTGTATCATGACGCAATATTTTTTAATGTACCACATTTTGCAGAGAAATAGATTTTATTATTTTAGGTGGAAACCATGCGTAAAAAATCGAGTTATCAACTTTGCTAAAGCAATGACAGAAAACAAAGGCTTTAAATGTCTAAAACAATGACATGGACATAAACAAAACCATGCGGAAAAAGAGCTTAGAAGTGATTGAAGATTCAAGAATAACTTTTCTCTTTGAACATTAAATAATACATTCATTCTTGCTCGATATTAAACTGATTAATTATACGAATTCTACACGCCCCGTGGATTCCAAACACGGCTTATCGACCAATCAAAATCTCCGTAGGTATTTCCGGAATACACGGGCCGCAACGAGACAATATAAACAAAACACGACTGACGTCTACTGTCAGATCAAGAAACTTTCGTTATCAAAAAATTTCACTTTTGACAATTGTTATTTCTTATGGCGTTTGCGATTGGTAGATTCAGTGCGCACTGAGTGTATTTGCATCCTTTTAATCGACCCGTAGAAGAAAAAGACAGAAATAGAAAAAAAATTGCACTAGTTCCGCACTAGATCTACCAATCGGAAACGCCATTACAAAAACTAATGATTTTCTTTCAAAAAGTTCGAAGAGAAAGTATAGTCTTCTACTCGCAAATAATGGCTATTATACCTATGCTCGTTGAAGAATATACTATTATTTTGAGAGAAATCAGTGGCGTGTACCATCAATATCTGCCAAAATAGGCAGATCAAATTCCGTACGAACGCCGCTGGTGGAAATTTAAAAAAATGTGGTAGAGTAAAAAGCAAACGAGAAGAAGCCACACGCGTTATCGTTTGTCTCACTTTAAATGGAAGGGACCCAGAGAAAAGGAAATCTACCTTCTTTGTCAGCGCTGACGTCAATGGCTTCTTCTCGTTTGATTCTTACTCTACAGTGAAAAATGCCTATTGATATAGTACATGTATGACAAATTTCATTAAAATATCTAAAGTGGTGTTACAGATACAAATAATAAATTATTTATTTTTTAAATCTTTATCACGCTGTATCTCAAAAGTTAAGATGTTTAGGACATACATATGAAGTTTTCTTCTGAAAATAGACCCAAAAATTGCTCCCTTATGGCGTTTCCGATTGGTAAACTCAGAGCACACTGAGTGTATTTGCATTCTTTCAATCGACCTGTAGAAGAAAAAGAGAAATAGAGAAAATTGCACTAGTTCTGCACTAGATCTACCAATCGGAAACGCCATTAGATATTTGCATTCAACTCGGCTGCTGGACCGAACTCCGCTACGCGTCGTTCGGTGAACAGCAAACTCGTGCAGAAAAATTTCATTTTCCGCACTTGTTAGGTAATAGCTATTTTCCTAACGAGTGCGGAAATTTCTTCCCGCAAGAGTTAGGAACTATATTTTTTCTACGAGCATACTAAAGCTGATGTTACGAAGAGTTTAATTTAAATAAAATGCGATTATGCAGAAGGCACAATTAAAAATGTATTAAAAGGTATTTATAAAAAGGTAAAGGTACAGGTATAGGTGTATCAACAATACAAACAATTCCATGTCACAATGATTATTTCAAACTCTTCCCGCACCGATGCGGGAAGAAAGTCTTCCCGCATAACAAATCGTGCGGGAAGAGCCATTTCCCACACGCTCGTAGAAAAAATATTTTCCGCAAATGTTAGGTACAATATTTTTCCTACAGGCGAAAAAATGTAAAATTTTTCTTTTTTTTTTTGACATATCAGTGCGGTAAAATTTCTTCCGCACTGACAGCCGTGTGGAAAAACTTTTTCCGCACTGATATGTCAAAAAAAAAAGTTTTACCGCACCGTGCGGGAAAACTCATTTTCCGCAAGCATATCAGTGCGGAAAATCGATTTTTCCGCACGGCTGTAGGAAATAGCTATTTTCCTAACGAGTGCGGGAAATTTCTTTCCGTAAGAGTTAGGAACTATATTTTTTCTACGAGCATACTACAGCTGATGTTACGAGAAGTTTAATTTAAATAAAATGCGATTGTGTAGAAGGTAGAATTAAAAATGTATTGAAATGTAATTATAAAAAAAAAGGTAAAGGTATTAAAGGTGAAGGTATAGGTGTATCAACAATACAAACAATAGGGAACTTGCACATTTTTTTTTTATTTCAAAAATGTGTTCTACTTATACTAAAGACATAGTCATGCCAAATATCAAGCATTAAAAATTAGCCGTTAATTTTTTATAAATATTTGAAGTTACGCTCGAAACATCGTCATTTGAAACGACCTATTAAGGTGACGTCACTCGGCAACAAAATTCCGATGACAGTGACGAACACTTCGAACTTCAAGCAGATAGATTATAGTAGACTATACCACGAGTCAATACTGATAGCTATTATTCCCGAGGATTATTACGAACTGAGCCGCGTTAGCGGCGAGGGAGTAACATTCCGAGGGAATAATAGCCATTATTGCGAGTAGTATACTCTACTTTATTTACGACAAATTATTTTATTTGAGATTTTCAATGAACAAATTTCATCCGTCTCATAATTTTCAATACAAATCCACAAGCACTACACGTTTGACACTGACACTTTTGTGGAATAATGACCATTAATCCCGCTACTCGTCATTAATCCCTGGAGGAATAACATATGTCATTATACTGCCAAAATCACAAATATAATACGGACATTATACATTAGTCGTAAATAAAGATTATGAATTATGTTGTTATGTATGCAGCTTTTGATAGATTTGACATTGGCGATACCAGCAGCACATGACGTGGCAGCGGTGCGACCCGATTATTACTGCCCTGTGACGTCACGACCCATAGAAACACGTTTTTGATCGCGTCATGAATTTCGAATTATTTGGTATTTTCAATTGAAGATTTTGGACACCAGAGATAAGATATTATATTTTT